GCTAATATTTTCTTAAGAATTTTTGTGTCTGTGTTCACGGGGGATATTGGTCTATAATTTTCTTGTAATGTCTTTTTCAGATTTTGGTATCATAAAATGAGTTGGGAAGGCATCCCTCCTCCATTTTCTAAAAGCATTTGTGTATGATCATGGTGTTATATCTTCTTGGAAATTATTGGAATTCACCAATCAAACCATCTAGGCTTGGAGTTTTCTTTGTGGGAATTTTTTTTTTAACTGATTTAAATTTATGTTGGAAGTTTTTTTTTGTAACATTTTCAATTTATTTAAAATAAAAATAGGTCTATTCAAATTTTCTATTATTGTGTGTCAGTTTTGGTAATTTGTGTCTTTTAAGAAATATGTCCTGATTCTTCAACAGGTTGTAATCTGTTACTGTCGTGTATTTTAATGCTCACATTACTCCATATCAAGCAGAGGGCCCCTTCACGCTGATTTCTGTGCCTCCTTCACACGTTTCCATTATTCTCCAAATGTTTCCAGGTCCATTTTATATTTTCCTTGGCCAGTCCTGGAATCAGCCATTTCTCCAGGGAGTTACAGTTCCTTTTAGTGTAGAAATGGTATTTAGAAGATGAGATTTAAACACCAAATATACCATGTACTGCCAGGAGAATGAGCAAATCAGTCTTGGAGGAAGTGTAGCCAGAATGCTGTTTAGAAGCAAGAATGGCGAGACTTTGTCTCGCTTACTTTGGACATGTCATCAAGAGGGACAAACTGATGGAGAAGACATCATGCTTGGTAAAGTAGAGGGTCAGCAAAAAAGAGGGAGACCCTCAGTGAGGTGGATTGCACAGTAGCTGCAACAGTGGGCTCAAATGTAATGATTGTGAGGACGGCACATGAGCAGGCAACATTTTGTTCTATTATACATAAGGTCTCTATGAGTCGAGCCAACCTGATGGCACAACATGATCAACAATAATATGATTCTCTTCTTTCAAGAGTCAGCCCCTACCTCAATTTCTTCCCATTGTAGGTCATTCTCCTGTGCCTTTAAATGGTTTTTTTATATTTTGTCCATAGTTTATAATTGTTGTGTGCGAGAGGGTTAATTCAATACAAACTTCTCTGCCATAATTGGAACCAGAATTTCTTCACTTAAAGTTTTATTCACTAAATACTGACTAGTTCATAAATGTCTTTAGAAAATATATTAGGTTGATTTGGGTCTTTTTAAGAAAAAATTTTGTGTGTGCATATAGTAAATGTCTTATGTATCAGTAGTTGCAAAAGAAATATTAAACCCTGAGCCCAGAATATACATGTACTGATGTTGTTGTTGTTGTTAGGTGCCGTTGCATCAGTTCCGACTCATAGCGACCCTATGTACAACAGAACGAAACACTATTCTGTCGTGCACCATCCTCATAATCACTGCTGTGTTTGAGCCCATTGTTGCAGTCATTGTGTCAATCCATCTTGTCAAGGGTCTTCCTGTTTTTCACTTACCCTCTACTTTACCAAGCATGATGTCCTTCTCCAGGGACTGGTCCCTCCTGATAACATGCCCAAAGTACATGAGATGAAATAATCACCATTCTCGCTTCTAAGGAGCAGTCTGGCTATACTTTTTCCAAGACAGATTTGTTCGTTCCTCTGCGAGTCCATTTTATTCTCAGTATTCTTCACCAGCACCATAATTCAAAGGCATCAATTCTTCTTCAGTCTTCCTTATTCATTGTCTAGCTTTTGTATGCATATGAGGTGATTGAAAATATTATGGCGTGGGTCAGGTGCACCCTAGTCCTCAAAGTGACATCTTTGCTTTTTAACTTTTTAAAGAGGTCTTTTGCAGCAGATTTGCCCACTGCAATGAGTCATTTGATTTTTTTGACTGCTGCTTCGATGGGCATTGATTGTAGATCCAAGTAAAATGAAATCTTTGACAACTTCAGTATTTACTCCGTTTATCATGATATTGCTTATTGGTCCAATTGTGAGGATTTTTGTTTTCTTAATGTTGAGACGTAATCTCTTCTGAAGGCTGCAGTCTTTGATCTTCATCAGTAATTGCTTCAAGTCCACTTCACTTTCAGCAAGCAAGATCGTGTCATCTGCATAATGCAGGTTGTTAAGAGTCTTCCTCCAATCCTGATACCTCCTTCTTCTTATAGTCCAGCTTCTTGGATTATTTGCTCTGCATACAGATTGAATAAGTATGGTGAAAGGATACAACCCTGATGCACACCTTTCTTGATTTATACATGTACCAGTAGTCCTTGTATGCTTCAATTTATTGTTCTAAAATAAGTGTTTTGAAATAATTTTTTATTTAAATGATATACAGGATAACACAAGTAGATAATTTTTTTTTTTTTACTCTTTTTTTTTAAATTGTACTTCAGGTGAAGGTTTACAGAACAAATAGTTTCTCATTAAACAGTAGGACACATATTGT